GCAGCAGCGTCCCCGGGGCTCGCTCACCTGGGTCCTAGAATCCACCTCCTCCTCCTCTTCGGCCGGCTCCAACTGGCCTCTGCCTGCAGCAGCTGGCCACAGGGACAGGGATCCTGCAGAGCTGCCGGGCAGAGGAAAAGTGCCTCCCCACGCCCGCTCCCCCCCTGCCAGCAACAGGCTGCCCCCTCCCCTGAGCAACAGGCTGGCGAACAGCAGACAAAAGCAGCCTCTCCGCCCCTCCTCCCCCTATACATGCTGGGCTCCCTGGGCAAACAAAGACTCCACCAAAACAAACAAAGTGCTGGCCTCATTGTGTTAGCAAAAAAAGGACCCTCCTCCTAGAACCCTGGGTGGTGTGTGGAAATAAAGCTATTAGCTCAAAGCATGGTGCAGAGCTGTTTGGTATTTGATGAGTTACTCTTTTAGTCCTGAGTTTGTCACAGGGACAGAAATAGATGTGAAATCTTCTGAACAGGGGAACAGACAGCAAAACAAACATTAGAGGGGAGTTAACCTTTCCCTATGCTATCCAAAACTAAAAAAAATGTTTGGCTAGAGTTTCCCCTACAATATGTACCAGTTCCGACTTACATACAAATTCAACTTAAGAACAAACCTACAGTCCCTATCTTGTACGTAACCCGGGGACTGCCTGTAATCTATTCACTGTGTCTCTCTTTTTATTTTTTCTCCTTCCCCCCTCCTTTGTTTCTCCCCTCCGCCCTTTCCCTTCCCTAATTTATTCTTGGATCTGGATTTCTAATACTCCTGTCATCTGAAGAAGCAGGTTGCGCCCACAAAAGCTCATGATACCATCTACATGTTTTGTTAGCCTTCAAAATGCTATTAGTCTATTTGTTGTTTTTTAAGTTTTTCCTGTTACAGACTAACTCGGCTACCCCTCTGATGCTGTTAAATGGAAAGCCTCGAAATTCATACAAAATCTGTAATACTTTTAAAGAAAGTGAATGATACAGTTCTCTCACTGGGACTAAGAAAACCACCCTATCAAAATGTGAAACAAACATGAGGGACTAGGATTGGTTTCTTTTACATGTTGTGTGACATGCAACCCCTTTTCACTAAAGACCAGATTCTGATACCCTTGAATAACACCTGACCATGCATAGCCCCCGTGGACTTCAACAGTATCCAAAATGGAGTACAACCTCTACAACGTAAGTGCAGAAAAACTTCGTCCTTAGGTAATGGATGGGATTTTGAAATGCCGTTAATGACGGATGAGCACAAGTCCCACTGACCTTCAGTGAAGTTCTAAATCATGTAGGTGCTTTTGAAAATCCCACCAAACAGGATGATTTTTCAGTGACGAAAGTCTCTCTTACCTCTTTCTTTACCTCTTCTTCATCCTCCAGTGTGAGTGCTGCCAGCTGTTTAGCTCTTTGTTCCATCAAGTTTACATATCGGATTGGGTTGGATAATGCTTCAATCACATCTGGAAATGAAGTAAACATTTCAGATCCAAATTCCTTAATCTATGGCATTAGAAACTTAAGGTGTTAAGAAAGTGCATAGGTTTTCCTGAAATATATTATTGAGAGTTACCACTTCACTGGAATTGAACCTAATCCATCATACCAAAGGCATGAACTGTGAAACACCATTTATACAGTTCCTGCACATGTATTGGCACAGTACCTCGGTAAGACTTTTAATCCCTATTTTATTAGTGTAAGAGGTATTGGGGGAAGAAAAAGTAGGAGAAATGCTGCTGATTTGAATGGGTTTTCATTTTCTCTCTCCTACCTATTGTTTTTCTAAATTTATATCAAGAACACAGGGAACCCTGGATGTGCAATTTTGGGGAAGGAGTTTTAGGATGGGTTTTTCTAGACTGTTGAGCATTGGCACAACTGAAGACAAAGATAAATCTCCCAATGCTTAGTTAGGGCCATTTGGAGTGCTTTTATTTCATAAATTAAATACATGATTTTACTTTGAATCTTGCAGTCACCGCATACTGTTTCTATTACAAAATCTCAAGATGCTTGGCTTCTGTAAAGCTACTCAAAAGTCTGCTAGGAAAAAAGCACTCAGGCCCTCATTTTTGACTGTGATCCATGCAGGAAGCCTCACACCAGTTTTATACCGTGTCGCAAACAGGCTGAGAGGACTTCAAAGGTTTGTCTATTTAGTTTTGCTTTTGTGGTTCATCTCTGGGAAATTTAATAGTTACCTGCATAAGTATCGGGTACGTAGTCCTTAACATCTATGTACACAAAGACTGCTGGAAGCATCAAAGGTTGGTTCCGCTCATTTCGCAGACAGATGTAGTGATAGCCTAGAATATAAAAGCAGCTCAGTCCAGAAGGTAAGCTCTTTCCAATGTAATTACATTGTTATTCATTATTTATATAGTGCCCATGTGACATGGGCTCTTTAGGGCCTGTGTATATGCTACGGAGATCAATCTGCTGGGGTTTGATTTAGTGCATTGGTCCCCAACGCAGTGCCCACGGGTGCCATGGCGCTCGCCGGGCCATTTATGTGCGCCCGCGGAGCAATCTGGGCTAGCCCCGCCCCCGGGCGTGCGGCAGGTGCCAGCCCTGGGCGCATGTGCGGCCCCTACCCCGGGGTCGCAGCATGTGCCGGTGCCAGCCCTGGCCCCAGGTGCGCCGCACATGCCGGTGCCGGCTCCAGGTGTGCGGCGCATGCTTGGTCCCGCCCCAGTCACGTGGCCTGTGAGCGGCCCCACCCCCGTACGCCCAGGAGCCCCAAAACATTGGGGACCACTGATTTAGTGGATCTAGTAAGAACCCATTAAATCAACCGCCAACATTGCTCCTGTCCACCCTGGTATTCCATGAGGTTGCGAGGAGTAAGAGAGGTCAACAGGACAGTTTTTCCCATTGACCTCCTGCTGTTGGGATGCCACAGAAATTTGGCTTTTAGTAAGTTGACTCACACTACACTATTCACATAGCTAGAGTTTCATATCTTAAGTCGACTTTCTCCCTCAGTGTACATCTAGCCTTAGAATCTGTAGGAAGGCAAATTCTTGCCCAGAAGAGTTTATAATCTACAGACAACATACAAACAAGGGTATGTCTACACAGCAAAGTTATTTCGAAATAACTTTCCCAGAGTCTTCACAAGCCAACTGCTATTTCGAAATTAATTCGAAATAGTGGAGGGCTTATTTCAAAATTGGCAAACCTCATTCCATGAGGAATAGTGCCAATATCAAAATTGCTATTTCGAAATAAGAGCTGTGTAGATGCTGATTTCGAAATAGGGGGCCTCCAGCCTTTCCCAGGGTGCCCTGCTGGCCGCCCTGGCCACAAGGTAACTTCTGACCTGATGCCCTTCCAGAACCAATTCTGGCTAGCCTTAAATGTGATTCAGCGTCCAATCAATGTGGACGCGCTATTTTGAAATGCATTTTATATATAGATGTGTTATTTCAAAATAAGGTATTTTGAAATAACTATTATGAAATTAGATATGTCGAAATAACACTGTAATGTAGACATACCCTCAGAGAATTGCAATGTTAGTTAAAAAGCATCAGAGTGCCGTGGTATGCTCCCAACGTGAATGCCTGACAATAAAAGCCCCAGAGAACACCAGAACCAATTACATGACCATGTATTTAAAATGTCTGTGGGGGACTGATTCCTTCAGACTGGCTACAATTAAAACACATCTAAAATAGGAGCATTTGCAGGCAATTTTGAAAGTGTGGAAGGCTGAGCCAAGCTGATTGTCTAGTGAGGCTAAGTTTCACACCCTCGGTGTCTCCATTCACCACAGCTAAAGCTCACTGACCAACCAACCTAAGAAACAAAGCCTGAAAAGGAGATGTGTCAATGATAGCTGCCATCCCCCTTCTTTCAAAATGGCTTTCTGGATGTAATCGACCAGTAAACACCATCAAGTGCTTTGTACGTTTTAGTTCTGTAGGGTTTCTTGTTTCATTCCAGATTTCAAATTCCGGTTGATTTGGGTGCTTCTCTTTTCATAGATGGTATAAAAATATTCAAAATGATTTACTTAATAAAACCCTGATGTTATAGCTAACACTGAAAGAATAAAGTATGAAATTAGGTGAATTTCTCCACCAGTGGCTGCACATGTTATGAGAGCACCGTAAATCAACATAGGTACGTTAAAATCAACAGAGTCATGCTGAGGGGCTGCCATGTTAGTTCTCTTCAGTATAGCACTTACCTGGTCGAATTGCTGAGACAGGCAATATCCGATGTCCTATAAACTTTCCTCCTTCCTCATATACTGCTATCCTTAAACATGCCAGAGAAGGCAGAACTACCTGTGGAGACATATTTGGTAGAGTAATTGGTGGCCTGGCATAAACAAGAAAAGTTCCTGTTGCATACAAGGAATACAGCAGAGTAGAAAATAAGGCTGTAGTCAGCAAATAAAGAGTTCGATAGCCATACCAGGAATCTGCCATACAATAGGTCAGAGTGTACATAGCCTGTGCATGAGCTACCGTTGTCAGGACGTTTTCTTTAGAGGTGAATAACTCATTGATGAGGAATGCCTAGAACAAACAAATTGGAAGCTGAGAACTTACCCCTACATTTTCAAAGCTGCGTGTGGATCTTTAGTATCAAGTTTTTCATTAAGGCTGAATGCTACTTCGAAAACATACAGTTTAGCGACACTGTACGACATGAAATCACGAGTTCCTCTCAGAACCGATGTGCATTGTTTTCCTGTCCTAATGACTCCTTACTTAACAGGGCAGTCCCAAGTGCAACAATGCCGATAAAACCATCCAATAACAAATCTGTCCATTGGTGTGTTTTATGAGGGAAAAGTCTGAACAGATTGCTATACTCTAGTTACTTAATTGCAGGAAGCATCATGACAGGCTGAAATGGAGTGAGGCCATTGAGCGTGCTTGTATAATGCTAGTAACTGTACCCTTCGTAAGTGCTTTCCATTGCATGACTACTCCCAACAGAGCTCTGCAGGGCTAAAGCTAGTGCTTCAGAATACCCCTCCTGACTTTTGCTGAGCAGGTACATGATGTTTACTGGATAAGTGAAGCCAGGAGCAGAGATGGGTAAGCCTGAGATACTAACCTTAGCCTCAGTGAAAAAATGGAAAAGTCCTTCAGGGTGGTCAGATGCTGAGTTCCCAGGGCTCCTACAATGGATAGGCCTTAATGATGGAGGAAGAAATGCATTCAAAACCTATAAGAGTAGTTCCGAAAGGAACCTGCACTACCTTCATAAGCAAGTAAATGATGCAATTTCTTCCGAAAGGGAGATTGGCCTGCTGATACTAAAAAGCGTGTCTCTCCAAGAGGATAGGTGATTTAGTAGGAAATTAGGCTGCCTGTGCGAGGAAGTTTAGCCTTTTCCTTTATGAAGTAACAATGTGAAAGAGCTCAGTTAGGAAGGAGTGCCCTTTTCAAAAGCACTTGTTCCTGCAGATCAATCTTCAAGACAGTGGGAAGGTCCAGGTGAAATAGGGTCTAGATTTGCAAAGCAGAATGCAGTCAAATGGGAGCATTCAGCTTCCAGTCCAACAAGCAGTCAGGAGACATTTCCTGTCACCCAACATCTGACCCCAGATATGTCCCCAGTGCTCAATTCAGGAACATGGAGATAGTATAGGGGAACAGCGCAGAGGTGCTGAGCATGACATTGTCTAATATGAACCTTACAGGGCTTTCCAATGGGATGTTGTCTTTGGCCACCATGGCCATGACCAATAGCTCATTTTCCTGTGAGCCATCAGACAGAAAGGCTTGCTCGCTTGAGTAGAGTCCCCGAAAGGCAGTCCCTGATTTCATCCTCAAAAGCTCGGTGCCACTGAACCTCTTCTGCTGACAAGAGCAGGGATCCTGAAGTCAGGATGTTCAACGTAAGAATGTTCATTCAAAGTCAAGCTCTGTTTTAGTTTCAAATAAAACAAGGCCTATTTGAGACTAAAATAGTACTTGGCTCTGAAAGAACATTCTTATGTTTCCCTTAAGTTGTAGTAAAGGCCCAAATCTCACAAGGAAGAGATACTATCTTAATCCCTACCTAATGTGAATGGTATTGTGACAAATATGCATCATATCCCCCACTACTGTGTCATAGAAAAGCCAGGTATAAATAAACATACATATTGCGAGGCCGGTTACATAGACATCATTTTCTCAGAACACACCAGGCTGAAATCAGTGTTCTATTGACTGGATATTTATATTACATCTACAACAGTGGTTCTCAAAGTATGGTTCACAGACCACGAGTGGTCCACGACCATTTTGCAGGTGGGACACAGGTTTGGGGCTCACCCTTCCTCCTGTGGGGAGCTTGCACTGGTGCTCTAGCCCCATCCCCACCCCACGGGAAGTTGGAGCGCTAGCTGCAGCGGGGAAGGTGAGCTTTCTGGAGAGCAATAAAATAATCACAATGTATGGTAGGGAAATCAAAACCACACCAACCTTCTTAAATACAATGGGTTCCTCTTCCCATACAGGGTTAATAGCATTGCCTTGAGAGGTCTTTGTCTTTAAAGCTTTTCTTCTTGTATCCACAGGCAAGCCAAACATGTCTACTTCTACATAAGTACCGATTTTTTTCTCCGAAAGAAACTGACCTGAAATTATCTAGAAAACAAAATGGAATGTTTGTAAGTGATTACTAAAGAAATAAATGATGGCATAGAATAAACACAACTCATTACAAGCATTCTCTAATAGGCTACATACAGGCCTGTAACATAATGCTATGGTAAGCAAAAATATAAGGTAATACCAGAGCGATGTGTAGTGATGTTGGAAAAAAAGCAACGATAAAAGAGCAGATGCATGTGTTTCTGTTTTCTATTGCAAAAGACAACTCTGCCTACAGAAAACAGTTCAGACACAAGTCTCCTTCCAGCCCCTCCTTTTTTAAATATGAGGTAAACATAAAATGAAGGCTAATGAATTCTCTGAGTAACAAAGTGCAGAGGGAAATTTAACCAATGTCTGGGTACCTTAAAAACCTCATATTCACCCAACGTACACCCACTTACATTTATTTGTGCGGCTTCAGCTTGTACCATGCCATGACATCACAACTAGTCTGGACTGTCAGAAGGAGCCAACTTCTCGCAATTACCTCATTACTCTTAGACTAAGTCCTGAAAGATCGGCTTAAGGTACACACAATGTAGCTGGAGTCAGCTTACCTTAAGCTAAGCTTGGTGGTATCTCCACTGTGGGAGGCTAATGGGAGCTAATGCTCCTGTCTGCTTCCCTAACTCCTTGTAACTGCGAGGAGTACCAGCACTGGCTGGAGTTGCGCTCAGCATTCAATTTATGGGTCTATACTAGACCTGCTAAATCAAATGCCAGAACATTGATCTTAGGCGTGGAGAGTGAAGACATGCCCTCAGAGACTCATTCCTGCAAAGTGCTGAGCAACCCCTGAGAGCTACTGAATGGCCTCCATTTAGGTGTGGCCCCAAAGCTGCTGTATTTCAGATGAATTATTTTTGGTATGAAACCATGACTTTTATAACTGCCTGACCTCATTGCAAGAACAACCTAAACCATGACTTTTATAACTGCCTGACCTCATTGCAAGAACAGCCTATTGTTGTACACTATTCAGTTATACTAAGCAGTGTGCTCTGTTGGTCATCTCAGTGCAAGTTAGCATTTATCAAATACTAGGGATGTTTTCAAGTTAATACGGCAGGTTGGACCTCCCTAGTCTGGCACCCTCAGGACCTGACGGGTCCCAGATGAGGGAATTTGACAGACTGAGGAAGGTCATTTCTGGCCCCCTGCCACTTGCCTCCCTAGTCCTGTCCTTCCATAGGCCTCCCGGCTGGCTACCCCCAACCACTGGTCCTCTTGCCCTGCTGGACCCACTGGGCTTCCCAGACCTGCTGGGTAGCCTCATTGGGCTGTGTGCTGGGCTCCTGCCCCCTCCTCCCCCCGGGCCCTGTGCACCAGGCTCCCAGTCTGCTGGCAACTTGTTGTCAGCAGCCTGCTACCCTGCTGGCCCTCAGGGATTCCAGCCACCAGCCCTACCCCAGGGCTCCCTAGTCCTGGAACATCCATGGTCCGGCATTTTCTGGTAATTCTTGTGTGATGGAAAAGAAAAAAAATTGGAAAAGAAATGAAAAACAAAACATAAGCAAACGTCCTTAATAGAGAACATTCCTTCAAAAACTGACCTGGTGTTTCAGTCCTTAATAGGAATTTAGTTACTTTTGATTTTAAAAATTATACATGGCCCACTACAAATTACATTGTCTCAATGTATAGTATGTCTACACTGCAATTGGAGCTGTGATTGCAGCACATGTGAAGATGAGGTGGCTTTAATCCAGGTAGAGTGAGTACCAATAATGAAGATACGGCACATAGACTTCAGCATGGGCTTGTTGTCCAAGTAAGTGCCCAGGATACTGGCTGGACTTGTATAGGCCTGTGATGCTGCACCTTCATTGCTGCTAATATCAGCAGTGGGGTGTGCAAACCCCACACTGGAAAGGTAGAGGTTAAAATGCGGGGCTGGGCCCAGGTGGCCCTGCTCCATCACATCTGCAAAACCTGCACAGGCTGGAGAAAGAGCTTAGCAAGGGGAACACAGTTGCTCTGTGGCGCTGGCAGGCAGACAGGGGAGGTGAGCTGACCTACATGCTGAGTTTGTGAGAAGAGGCACCATGAGGCTCTTGCTACTTGAGGCCGGCCTACGATGACCTGACCAAGCCTACAGGACTGGTGACTCTGTGAAAGGCTGAAGATTTTATGTTTGTGTTTTGGTGTTTTACGTAGCTGAGGGGAAGAGAGGGGCCTGGTAGGGAGTGAGCCAAGGAGGCACCTGCCTGGAGTTAGCTGCCTGGATCACAGCCCAGTGGACAGCGCAGGGCATAGGTTCCCCTACCAACTGCTGCAGAGGGGCAACTACAGAAGCCCAGCCCTGAGGTGGGGAACCCAGCTGGGGAAGAATCCCCTAAAGACAGAAGAGTTTGGGTTGTGAGATCTTGACATCCTGCTTAATCGTGAAGGCTCCCCCTTTGTCAGACTCTCACAGATATCCCGAACAGGACAGATGTGTATACATGGACCTGGTTGGAAGGCACAGTCACCAGAAAGACAGGTGACTGCAGGGTGAAGTAGCAGTAAGACAGGTGGAATACCACTGGCCACATCCCAGCCTGACCACGAGGCAGCATTGGTGGTGAACATCACTCTTCACAGTATAGAAGTGAGCTGGATTAAACTACCTTGGGTATGTCTAACTCTTACTGTAATCCCACCACCTGACTGCAGTGTAGACACACCTAAAGAAGATCTGACAGGGCTCCAGATAAAGCAGAAACATGTCCAGGTTCTAACAAAACAATAAGTAGAATTTTCAACAACTGTGTACGTACCTTCACAGACAGAGTGTTGGCTACTATTCCATCCACAATACTTTCGGTAAATGGGTCAAAATGTTTGTCTGGTCTTCTCATGAACTCTGGCTTTAGCCTGTACCCACTTTTGCCATTGTATTCATACATCCCCATGTTTATTTGCATAGACAAATCTAAGCAATAAAAATATCAGGAGGAATTAGCTTCTGGGTAAGTATCAGATACACAAAAACAAATACACCTGCATTAATATAACTAAGTGTAATGTGAATAAACAGCTCTTTCTTGAATATTGCTGCCATTTAAACCTAGGTTTCAGGACATTTTTTACTTGAAAGACACGTTTCCCTCACACACTCCTCAATGGCCATCATTTTGCATTCTCTCTGTAAAAGGAAGGAGATACCCCAGAAGATGTAGGGTAGCATTTTCAAAAGACCCTAAGGAATAGATTTTAAAGATATATAGGTTTTACTCTGCTTAGTATTAAAGAGCCTAAGTGACTTAGGTGATTAGGTCTCATTTTCAAAAGCAACTTTGACTTCTAGATCCTGTTGACTTTCTATGAGATGTAAGCACCGATATGTGCAATTTCACTTTTGCACGTGCACGTCGGTGTTTGTGGGAGCAGCGTACATGCATTTCACAAGATGCTCCCATTTGGCTCACCCATGATAATCTTCCTTTCTAGATACGATGACTAGAAAAATGGAATCTAATAGTGCAATAAAAATTATTAATAATCATTGTTTCTGGAGGCCGAGGAAAAGTTAGCTATATTTTCAGTTCATTACACAATTTAAAGGGGCTGCCATTAACATGTGACTATTAGGTCTGCCTATAAGATACTGTAATGTTTTCCAATCCACAGAAAAAAAATCTTATTTTCAGAAATTGCAGTATGGTAACATCTGATAAATCATGATTCCTTAAGGTGATCACTGTATGCATATTACACTACAGCATAATATGTAAATGAATGTGAGAATAATGTGGTTTCAGTGATAGGAATGCACAGCTTTGTATAACCAGTCAATAGCCCAACATCTTTTGTTGAACAAAACAAGGCTACGTCTACACTGGCGCATTCTCAATGGACACAAATCTGATATTAGGAATGGCAACATACAAAAACCTGTAGGGGAACACTTCAATCTTCCTGGACACACAATTGCAGATCTAAAAGTAGCCATCCTGCAGCAAAAAAACTTCAGGACCAGACTTCAAAGAGAAACTGCTGAGCTACAGTTCATCTTTAAGTTTGACACAATCAACTCTGGATTAAACAAAGACTGTGAATGGCTTGCTAACTACAAAAGCAGCTTCTATTCTCTTGGAATTCACACCTCCAGATCAGCTGCTAGAAGTGGGCCTCATCCTCCTTGATTGGATCCACCTGGTCATCTCCAGCCTGATCCTGGCCTGCATATTTATTCCTGCCTCTGGAAATTTCCACTACATGCATCTGACGAAGTGGGTCTTTGCCCACGAAAGCTTATGCTCCTACACTTCAGTTAGTCTATAAGGTGCCACAGGACTCCTCGTCGCTTTTGCATTCTCATGCAAAAACTCTTTTGCGGAAGAGTTCTTCTGCAAAAACTCTTCCAGAAGAGAGCGTCTACACTGGCATGTGCTTTTGTGCAAGAGATGTGCTTTTGTGCAAGAGCATCCATGCCAGTGTAGATGCTCTCTTGCGCAAGAAAGCTCTGATGGCCATTTTAACCATAGGGCTTTATTGTGCAAGAAATTCATGTTGCCTGTCTACACTGGCCTCTTCTGGAACAGCTCTTGTGCAAAAGGGCTTATTCCTGAGCTGGAGCGTCAGAGTTCTGGCACGAGAAGCCCTGATTTTATACATTAGAATGTCAGTTTACTTGCGCAAGAACACGCGGCCAGTGTAGACAGGCAGCAAGTTTTTGTGCAAGAGCGGCTGCTTTTGCACGAGATCACGCCAGTATAGACACAGCCCAACTGTTTTGGCTCCTAATCGCCAACCTTATTCAAAAAATGGAAAGCACAGTCCACTAAACCAAGTTAAAGGTCAAACTTACCTACAGTTTGGAAGTTAAGAGCAACCAATTGACAGCCAGCATTCCAGAAGACTTGTGGCATGTAGTTTGAGGAATCTACACGTGTTCCCTTTGGATAAATCCGGCTAAGCTGCCTTTTGTTATATCTGGATGGTGAGTGGTTAAGATACAATATATTTGGCAAAATTATTATGTATAGTTTCAGTCTTTAAATGTAGATGCTCTTTACAGAACAAAAGTAGGTTACTGCTTCAAGCATACTGCTTTGACAGATTCATAGGTTATAAAACAATACATGACATATTTTCCTTTTGTTCCTATGAGGACAGACAGATGCTAAAGAAGCAAAGGAAAAGCATGGGTATCTGTGGATCTAGAAGACAATATAATTGTAACTCCAACTACACAGTAAATAATCTAAAATGGTCCTAAATTGCCTCAGCAGAAACTCGTCAGTGGTAACAAGCCTTCCAGAGTTGGACTAAGTTAAGAAATAACTGCTCTCCTCACATGAACTTTACATCCAGCCTCCACAGAGAGTAAGCAATGATGAGTAAACTGATTTGGTAAGACTGAGCTTCAAACTGCCACTCCACAAATATTAGCTATAGGAATATGTTGCAGTCTAGATGTACAGAGCCCTGTGCAGATACAAAATCTGTATCCGCATCTGTATCAGCAAAATGAGCTGCAGATATCCATATTGCTGGGTTTTGGATGTAAAATTTGTATCCTCATCCATATTCACAAAAATGAGCTGCGGATGGATACCTGTGGATATAAAGCAGATTTCTGAAGATTTGCAGGGCTCTATCGATGTAGAAGTTACTCTCAGTTAACATTCACTACGGCCATATTGTACCAGGATCTCTTTGTGAACTTGCTGGCTTCAAAAGACACAAGGACATACACCAGGAACCATTCAACTGAGATGGATTCCCCTTTGGTTATTTATTTCCAAAAGCTACAAATAATAAACCAGTGCAGCTAGCTCCTGGTAGCCAGGGAAGAATCAGTTGTGACCAGGAATCAAACTCATATCTCTCATACGATTATGCAAATTATTGGGTTACCCAAATTATCTTTATCTGGCAACTTTCTTTTGTTTCAATATCTTATATGATTTTATCATACACAGTACCATTGCTTTTTTAATATAAGTTAACATGCTTACTAATGATTTGACTCACTTTTCCTCCCCAGATCGTCCACCTGTATTTTAAACTAATCTCTTTTGCCCCAACCCACATCCAAGAATTCACTCTAAAACCTAAATGAGGTGTCATCTGATGCCAGCTCTCTTTCCTAAAGAAACAGGTAATCGAGTTAACAAAGTTGAGCTTGACCCTTAATTTCCCAAATTCAGGTCTCCAAAGCCCAATGAAGAACCCCAATGGTTCTTATTCAGATTTACAAAAGCACATAAAGTATCTTTCTGAATGTCAAGGATACTCCACAAATTCCACTGGAGACTTTGTGAGTTGCTCAAGACCTTTGGTTTCCACAAAGGAAGACATTTCAAAACTCTTGTTTCGTTCTGTAGTTCAAAGGGGGGGAGGAGAACAGTGATTAGATTAGAACATTGTTGTTGTCGTTGAATCGGTCCTATGATATTGTAAGACCAGGTGAGGGAAGCAGTATCTTTTACTGGACCAACTTCTGTTGGTGACAGAGACAAACTTTCAAGCTGACATTCAGTAGAGCTGCGAATTGATGAGTTATCACCGTGCCTATATTTCATCTGCTATTTATTGACTTTTATATTTCACATCACCATTCTGATCACCAAGTGATTTCCAAGATTTTCAAAATATGTTTACAATGAAGGATGCTTGACAAAGCCGTATGTTTGGGGGAAATGAACATAAATAAAAGGAAAACAAAATAAATGTTCCCGTGCCCAGGAACCGCCAGAGTTCGAAAACATTCACTGAGGTTAGACACAGCACTAGCCCCCATTTTAACAGCTTCAAGCCCCAGCTTTTACAACCTGTAGTGTTAAGGGAATGACTGATCTTATAGGTGAGAAACAAGCAGAGGTAAAATGCAAGCACCCACCAGAGTGCAAATATTGTCCAGTTCTTTCTAGCAAGGTTTTGCTAGTTTTCCAAGTATCCTTTCCAATGGCTTTCAAGATGAGGATGGAAAATGTCAACAATGCAGAAGTACAGTGTCCTGTAAACTATTTTAACCCCCTAATTTTTTGCTGTTCAGGATGTACAAGCAATTCACGCTGAGCAGCAGCGGAAACAGAGCTCTGATTTCCACACCTTGAAGTGTGCCAAATTTGTTTAACAAAGTACAGGGAATGTGTTTCAGTATAGGCCACTGTTTCTTAAACTTTTTAAGACTGAGGAACACCAAACAATAATTTTTTTATGAGGAACACCAAGGATTATTTGTTGAGTGAAAAAAAAGGTTGCCTGCCCCTTTAAGGGTGGCCATTTTGAACTCTGTTGTTCTCCATGGCACACCTCTGACTGCCTCATTTTGTGCAAGAAACCCCTACCAGAAAAAGCACAGGTGCTCTGATGACCATTCTGAGTTCTTGTGCAAAAACTTCTTGCACAAGAGAGTGTCCATGCAGTGTGGATGCTCTCTTGCACAAAAGCTCATCGCTTTTGCAATACGCTTTGAGGTCTGGATGTGCTTTTGTGATGTGCTTTGAGGTCTGGACGCGCTTTTGCGCAAGAAGTTTTTGTGCAAGAACTCTTCCTCAAAAGGCTTCTTGTGCAAAAACCCTGCAGTGTAGACAAAGCCATAGTTTAGCACCATCTCTTTATCGTAAAAGTGCAACTTACAAATGCAGATTGTCACATAAATTGCTCTCAAAACCAAAACAATATAAAACTTTAGTGCTTACAAGTCCACTCAGTCCTCCTTCTTGTCCAGCCAATTGCTAAGAGAAACAAGTTTATTTACATTGGCAGGAGATAATGCGGCACGTTTCCTATTTATAATGATAGAAATGTAGCCGTGTTAGTCTGGTGTAGCTGAAACAAAATACAGGACTATGTAGCACTTTAAAGACTAACAAGATGGTTTATTAGATGATGAGCTTTCGTGGGCCAGACCCACTTCCTCAGATAAAATAGTGGAAGAAAATAGTCACAACCATATATACCAAAGGAAACAATTAAAAAAAATCTTTGGTATATATGGTTGTGACTGCTTTCTTCCACTATTTGATCTGAGGAAGTGGGTCTGGCCCACGAAAGCTCATCATCTAATAAACCATCTTGTTAGTCTTTAAAGTGCTACATAGTCCTGTATTTTGTTTCACCTATTTATAACGTAACCTCAAAGTGAGAACAGGCATTCTCATGGCATTTTATAGCAGGCATTGCAAAGTATTTACATGTCAGATATGCCAAACATTTGTATGACCCTTGTGCTTTGACCACTATCCCTGAGGACATGCTTCCATGCTGATAATGCTCTTTTAAAAAATAATGAGTTAAATAAATTTGTGACTGAACTCCTTGGGGGAGGACTGTATGTCTCCTGCTCTGTGTTTTAGCTGCACTAGGCCACATATTTCATGTTACAGAACTCTCGCAAGATGACCCAGCACTTGTTGTTCATTTTAAGAACACTTTCACTGCAGATATGACAAAACACAAAGATGTACCAATGTGAGATTTCTAAAGATAGATACAGCACTTGACTCAAGGTTTAAGAATCTGAAGTGCCTTCCAAAATCTGAGGAGCAAGACATGGAACATACTTTCATAAGTCTTAAACGAGCAACACTCTGACGCAGAAACTATAAAACCTGAAAAACAACAAAAAAAAAAAAAAAAAAAAAAAAAAAAAAGAAAAGAAGAAAACCAATCTTCTGCTAGTAGCATTTGACTCAGATGATGAAATGAACATAGAATCATAGAATCATAGAATAATAGGACTGGAAGGGACCTCGAGAGGTCATCGAGTCCAGCCCCCCGCCCTCAAGGCAGGACCAAGCTCCGTCTACACCATCCCTGACAGATGTCTATCTAACCTGTTCTTAAATATCTCCAGAGAGGGAGATACCACCACCTCCCTTGGCAATTTATTCCAATATTTGACCACCCTGACATGAGTCAGTCCACTCTGCTTTGGATCGTTCTTGAGCTGAACCTGTGACAAGCATGGATGCAGATCTGCTGGAATTGTGGTTGAAGTGTGAAGAGACACACAAATCTTTAGCACTACAGGAATGTAAATATTTTGCGATGCTGGTTACAACAATGCCACACACACACACCAGCTTTCATTTTCACCTGGCATCATAAAAAAGAAGCAGGCAACATTATCTGTTGCACATGTAAACAAACTTGCTTGTCCGAGTGGACAAGAAGTAGGACGGAGTGGACTTGTGTGCTCTAACAGTTCATATTGTTTTATTTTGTAAGTTAGTTATTTTTATACATAATTCTACATGTAGGAGTTCAACTTTCATAATAAAGAGATTGCACTGCAGTAGTTGTCATGGGGAAAATTGAATAAACACTATTTCTATTTGTTTCTTACAATGGAAATATTTGTAATAAAAATAAATATAAACTGAGCACTGGACACTTTGTATTGTGCGGTAATTAAAATAAAAATATTGGAAAAGACAGAAAATATCCAAAATATTTAAATAAATGGTTGAACAGCACAATTAAATCACACAATTAATTGTGTCTAATTTTTTAAACCATGATTAATTGTTATAATTGCTTGACAACCCTACTAATACCCTTAACAGGATTTATGCAATGCATTAAAAAGAGAGAACGGCTTTCTGCTTTTCTAAGCACACTCTTCTGCCGTACCTATGGGGACAGATCTTCCACAGATGTTTACTTGACTTCTTCAGAAACATGACAACTGAATTTACACAGGTGAAGGATCAGCCCCATGGCATGTTCAAATAATTGCAACTGAACTAAGAAAGGGGCCTCCTAAAAAGTCCCCAGTATAAAATGATGCTCTGGATGTTTAGATTACTTACTGTTTGATATCTCAAATGACTCAAACTTCACTGGCTGTACGTAGTTCACCAAGTTGGACATTTCTTCCGTGGCCATGGCTTCACGGCCAGCGGTGCCCTAAAAAAAAGGACACAAGGGCAAGGTCACTGGCTGGATTTCTATGCAATAGGCTTTATATAGCTAAGTCTCCAAGTGCTGGGGACCTATCACAGCAAAGTCAATGGAAGCATTACCATTTACTTCAGTGGGTGTGGGATCAGTGTCCAATAGATCATTACTCATTTGCATATGCAGATTATCTGGCCTATTTTCCTTTGATATGTGGCTTGGATTGTCCGCTTTAGACTCCTCATCTAGAGGGAGTAATTTTCTCTTTGTTTTTGTTAATAAGGTATTAGCCAATGAAAGTCATGAAACTCCGGGAAGGAAGGATGAATTTCAAGGGGACAGAAAGGAATACATGTAAAATAGTCTTCATTAGCCTCATGGGAGTTTAACAGATTTATGAAGAGGAGACCTCACTACTCTATTTAAAAGTGAAATTACATAGCTGGTATTTTAATGCTTTACACATGCCTGTAAAACCCCTGGGAAAGTGACTGCATTATTTATCTTCTGAAAAGTGCTTAGCACATTGTGAGCACCTATAAAAATTAATAATAATAAACGTGTCTCTTTCAGATTTCAGCACAGAGCTGTCATAGAATAGGTTGTTTTATACACACAGGCACAATAATGAAGTACTTCTCTAAAACAGATTAATTAGATCTTATGTTACTAAGTTAAAATAGGAACAAAGCAAGCAGTGATGTGCACATGTTCAAGAATTAGACTGTTGGCAAACATTTTTAAAGTTTGTATATAGTTTTTAAATGCTCTTTC